ATTTTGCATTCATATAATGATGTACAACTACTTGTGTGCACATTGCTAAATGATATTAAAAGCTAAATTCCACCCCCTTCAAAAATAATATTAAATTTCACTAAATACTTTTTGTAGACACTATTTCATTGCCCCATATGTTGATTTACTTACTTCAGAAAGGAATTTGAAAATTAGATCAGTAAAAACTAGGTGGGAATATACAAAAACTGGAAGTGGCCTTTCAGCATCAGGTACTTTAGAAATCCTAATGGCCTCATTAACTCGATTTCGCACAAATAGCGCAGCTTGTTGAGGAGACATGTCCGTGTTTAAATAAATGGATGGGAAAAGAGCAGTGCTTTCCTTCCACAACCAGTTGAGGTCATCATTTATTCTCTTTTCTGTATCAAAGCAACTTCCATTGAAACCAGGTTGTCTATAATTATGGTTGTAACAATCAGGAAAAAGATAATAACCCCATAAGTGATTTGGCCGAAGTAATTTCCCCAATTTTAAAGTCTCTCGCATGAAACTCTTTGCTGCATTTTCAAAATCAGCCTTGGCTATCTTGGCAGCCTCTGTGACTCTAAGGTGTACATTTTGTTGCTGAACCAATTTAATAGACTGATTCCTGTAAATATCTTTAGGTTTCCAGTTTCTTGCCCAAGTGGGCCTCCATTCTTCCCAATCAATGACAGCCAAGCCCACATTGTCTATTGGCATGTAATAAAGAATGTCTTTCTCAGCTTTATCCAAATGGTGTTTTAAGGACCCGTTCTGAGGAATTCCTCCATTCACATTTTTGCCTGTTGTATCTATATAAGGATAGTAGCCAAGTCTATCAACATAAAATATTGTAACATCTTGCCCTGTGACATCTCTTCGGGGGCTTCCTACGAACGAGAAGAGGCTCAGATCTAGTGGCTCATCAAACCTTCCAATACAAAGTTCAGTTGGGGCATTCCAGGCCCAGAGGAAAGGCATATTTGGGATAAGAGGGGGTGCTCTGAAATCCAGAGTCAAGCAACATGGAATTAGAAGGAAGGTGAACACTGTCTGGGATACTCCACTTGACTCAAGAAAGCTTCCAAAAAAGATGTTCTTGAACCTTAGCACTCCCATTGCAAAGAGTAACGACTATGAAAAGCACTTATTTCTTCCTACACACTGTACCCAATATTTGATGCTGGATATGAGAACAGACAAAAGGGTGTGGAATGAAGATACTTTGATGAATAAACAAGCATAATGATTATGTTACATTTAAATATTATTCTTCTTATTTCATGTTTCAGGAATGTGTTGCATGTTGCATCATCTATAACTAAAAAAAGAAATGTAAAATATATTGTTATGTTGCATTTCATAATAAAGATTCTAAGACTTTACCAAGTTCTAAACTTTAGGTGCAGGGATTCTAATTTACTTTTAAAAGATGGAGAAACTACTCCTATATTTGAATCCATGAAATTATTTCCTATTATGTATGATACAAATTCTATAATGGTTAACATTTGTGTCATCTTCCCAAATCATTACTGAACCTACAGAGAGGTGAAGGCAACTATTTTTCCTTTTGCCTTCCCAAGTGTGCAGAATGTTATACCAAGCAATGCCTTAGCAAAAGCCCATTGAATGAAAATAAATTCAAAGTTGAACCCCTCATTCTTGTTTATTGCTTCTTGAAAAACTGCTTCATAGTTATCCGTAAATATTGAAAACAACCCCTTATAGAATTCTGAAATTTGTTCATTTTCTTTTTTGTTGTTGTTGTTGTTT